TCTCTCTGCCCTGTAGGCCTGAGGGAGGGGAACCCCCCAGCAAACAGCCCGCTCAAAGAGGCCCCCACGGCCGCCACCCCGCCCGACGAGCTTTGAGAGGCACCGACGTTTCCAGATGTACTGCCCGTGTTCGTCTTGGTCTCTAGGCAAAACCATCCACAGAGAGTAGCTCAATATTCAATAGTTGATAACGTGCCACATAATTATGACCTTATTCATTCACCAGAAAAAAGGCCATTGAATCTACTCTGTGGTTTAATTCCACTGTACAGAATGAACAAACTTTCCTTACATTTTGTGTGTTACATAGAATATGTTTTAGTTTTAAGCTGATAAAATTTAATTAAACATATTGAATCATGTCTCACTTCAACTAAAAGGTTTTCCCTCTGTGTTTCCTATCACATATTACTTAACAACTTGGGACTACGGTTTAATTTTGGGTGTGTCCGTATCACTCTTGAACATAAAACATTTCAAGATTCAAGACAGGCATACCACAGTCCACCATGATGCTACCACTACCATGCTTCCATGCTTCTCATTCTATACCAAGTGATATTTCTCTGTCTCAAGGATTCATCTTTAACGTGAAAAAAGAAAGAATAATAAAAGAGAAATCAGTTGGAAGAGACTGCAAAACTAGTCAAATTATATTTTTCTAGGGGTTTGGCATAAATTAAAGTAGAATCCTGTTGTATAAATGTTGTTGTTTTTTTGCCTTATCCTTTTTCTTTTACTTCTTCCCAGAGTGCCTGCACACTGTCCTGTTTGTGTTTATGTGTTCAAAAATAGCTTATAAAAACTCAACATCCTTGATCTAAATAATCTCCTTCCTTGTCCTTGACCTGTATCTCCCCCCCAAACACTTGTGTACATCAGAATATGACAACAAACTCTCCTCCTCTCAGATTTCGCTTCCAGTAACGACACAGCAGCACGGGGGTGCTACACAGAGTGCAGAAGTGAATGGACGCGTTGTTGGACTTACTATCGACAACGGGGGCGCTGCGGTCGCTGACCAGGGAGACTTTCCTGAGCTTGGCTCCTTTCTGGATGTCGGCCAACAGAGCATTCCTTCCACCTCCTCCCGGACAAGACTGCTGCCTGGGAGGCTCCGAAGAGAACTGCCACACAGGGGAGAATTAGCTCCATGAAACCGTCAGAGGGTTTTATGGCATGGTATTCCTTGTCAAAATCAATAAAAAGACATTTAAAAAGAATAAACAAGTTTCGATGAATAAATTATTACTTTAACAAAATAGAGATAGTAAAATATATTGTGGACTTGCTAAATTTGAAGAGTTGTTTAGACCTCAGGTTTAGACCCCAGGTTAATTATCTTATTTCTTAAAATATATTTCACAGCATGGAAAAATTGCGTATTTTGTTAAATGTTTCTCTGTGTGTGTTTGCTCTGCGATATGTTGTAGAGTTTTTTGGTCTTTTTTATGTCTTGTTTGTGCTATATTCTGTGTTTTGTGTTTTCACTTTGTGTTTTCTTTTAGTGTTTTCTTTTAGGAAGATATGGCTACGAACCTAAGGGTCAGTGTTAGTTCATGACATTGAAGACAGAAAAACAGTGATATAAGTTCTGATAATAAACTGTACTAATATCTGAGTACTACTTCAGGACAGTATGTTGTCATCGATGCGACCACATGATGATAAGTTATTAATAAAGAATATCTGGTGTCCTGTACTTCATGTTTCTCTCATTTGCACCAAACACAGCAATTAAAGTAAATAAAACCTTCAACTCTGGTGCGAGAAAAAGTTTAGGAACGAAACAGAAACACGAGACAAAGGAGCATTTTGGACTGGACGTCGCTGTTAAATTCAGGATCTTATGGAGCCGTGTCATTTAACAGGAGGACGCCGCCGGCCTGCTGTGGAAACACAACACCCCCCCCTCTGCCGCCGGGAGTCTGCCCTCTGTCCCAGTTACCGCGTCGGCCTGTGTGGGCTCTGTGCTTTTGAGCCCGATCAATAATTCAAACAACCTCCAGGTGTTTGGTTGACGGTCAGCGAAAAGGGACGCGAGCGAGTGTTCACGAAGGCATGAGGAAGAGTGGGCAGTGGGCAGACGTGCTCACCTGTGGGGGGGCGGCGCCGGGCGGAGGAGGCGGGGGGGGCACCGGAGGAGGTGGAGGTGGAGCGGGCATGCCGACGTCTCAGATACCTCAAATAGACGAGAAGCACTTTGTTATCTCAGTTTTTTTCCTCCCTTTCTGTGTCTCATGCTGGAGTCTGCTACTGTGCAAAAGGGGCACATTCGGTGACCTCCTACCCTTTTTTTCCTGGACAGGAAGAGCCTTCACCATCACACAGCAGAAAACAGGAAACAGCACGAGCTCCATCCTCCACAGAAATCTAACACAACCCCCCCGCCCCCAGCCCCTGCTGCTCCTCTTCCCACAATGGCAGCCTTTTGGGGAGGGGGGGACAATGGTGTGTGTTGTGTGAAAAGTAATAGACCCCTACTCTTTAGTCCCTCGATGACCAAAAGCCCTCAATGTGATTACTGAGTGGAAAACACATTATGGGACGTCCAGAGGAAAAGACTACAACCTGCAAACGCATTGTTCCCTTTTTGTTCCATATTGTCCCAAACATACTGAGTCATTAAACAGGATGTCTTCTTATCAGCTTTCCAGGAGCAGCTCATGTTCAGGATTCTGTCCCCCTTCCAACCTGGTTAAGGGGTAAGCCAGTCCAGAGAAAAATCACTAAGACCTCCACCCGTTGTTGTCATTTCTTTGGCCAGCAGTTCTCCATGACTGAGGGTCAGACACGAGCCCAAGGTTTGTGCACATTTAACTCACTGAGGAATTTTCACATGTTCCTGATTCGCAATTGAATAAAACCAGAACAGGACTTGTTTTTGTCGGAGCTCTATGGATCTAATGACCTGTGTATGTGTGTGTGTGTGTGTGTGTATGTGTGTGTGTGTGTGACTGTGCAAACAGGGGGTTTGTGGCCGTCAGAGTGTCACTGGGTTCTATTTCTATCTTCATATCTGTGTCAAGCAGCCTCTGTGACACTGCCAGCTTGGATCTTTAAAGGGCCAAAGCTGGACCCTGGTTAGCTGAGCTTTTGCCAAACAAGTGGGACAGGGACTGCAAGTATATTTCTCCCAACAGCTGTCGTATAGCCTCATACAACCTTGTTTTCCTTTAGGTAAAGAAGATTCAACTTGACACAGAAAAGCAGCTAAAATTCATTGCTAAAATTTTTAAAAAGGGGTGTTCAGGTTTTCAGTGTGAGTAATACTTATCCGATGTTCACTATTTTTATTCAGAAATGGAAAAAACAAGCCAGCTGTAGTTGTAAAAACAAATATACGATCACTTAAGAGCTTCATTTGTGATTTGTGATTATTTATACAAGTTAGTAAAAGGACAGTCAGGGGGGAAATAAATTTATTTGAGAAATGCAGCTGCATCTGGTGATTAGATAAGATAAGGTTTTGGGTGTGTCGATTATGTCAGATTTTAGGTCAGATTTTGACACCATTCAGACTCACAGTGGTTAGATGGAAACCTGGTTCAGGTTTTAAAACCAGACATGAACCAGAGTTTGTAGACCAGCTTTGGGATGGGTTGATACCAGTGTAACTCAATTATGAAGCAAAACAGTACCTAGGAATCCTCAACACAATGTAACATTTAGATTCTTTCAATGTAAACCCATGGTTGTTGCTTGCTCTTAGTCCTTTTATAGCTACCAAACTAAATAAAGCAATGCGTATTCGTGCTTTATTGTGCCTTTAAAAGTAGATTAACTGTGGCTACCGACAATTATTGAAACACTTTGTGTCTGCAGCTCCAAAAACGAATCCACACTTTATGCACAACAGTGCAATAATCTACCGGATGGCCTTACCTCCAAATAGCAGCAGAAATCCACCTGTTCGCAGTGACGCGTTCAGTGCGATGGAGCTCCGCTCACGGTTCACTCCTCATAACGCAGCAGTGGGACAGTTATTTTTGCTTTAACAAGGACGCCACTTGTCACCCAGTCAGTGCTGTCCGTTGAATCTCATAGGACGCATGTCAAAAAGTTCCCAAAGCTCTGTATCTTATCTTTGTTTCTCTGCGTGCACGGTGGAAACCCCGGGGTTTCGGTCCAGTTCTGCGACCGCTCGCTGTTTTGTTTCGGCTCACAGTGACAAGCCACACCTCAGTCAGCAGGGGGGCAGTGGCGAAGGATATCCTCATTTAAGTTTGAGCTGATCACGTCACATGGACTTTCCTCACTTTCAGTTCTACCTGCTGACTAAAAAAATTACATTATATAAAAAAACATGATTTAACTGATGCGTAAAAAGATCCCTGCGCCTTGGACTTGGGACTTTTTACTGTCCTCCTAACCCATCTTTACTTTCCTGACCCGTGGATGTGGCACCTTTTGCCCCCCTGTGTTGAAGACACGACATTGCAGCTCGTCCTCCTGACACATCTTTAACCTCCGGCCATCCAGCACCGGTTTGACCTGTCGCAGCTCTTAATTACCGTCGTGAGATAGCTAAAGTGGATTTAACTAAATCTACTGGCACTTTATAGCTGCAGCAGACACACAGACACAACCCTTACGCATACTTGCACACACCTTAAAAACTAATTGTGGCAAAGGAATGCTGCGACGCAGGCGAGGCCCTCCCTGGCCTGGCCCTGGAGGGTTGACATCGATAGTATATGTAAACACGTACGTGTTCACAATATTTAGGTGGGAGTCGGTTTTACAGCTGTGCTAGGATATTTGGTACTTACTGAATGGCTGCGGTTCTAATTGAGTGATCAGAACAAATGACAATCAGAATGGACGTCTGTCATGAGTAAAGTGAGGCCTTTTGTGCAGTTTTTCTAGGATTTTGGATCATATTAAGAGCAAAGCATCAAGAGGTTGTTCTATCTACTGACCCAAGATGAAATTACACCTGCAAGCTTGCACTGTCCTGGGTAAAACACCAATAAGGATGGGAATATGTGGTTTAGAAAATAGATGGATGGGTGAGTGGATGGATGGATGGATGGATGGATGGATGGATGGATGGATGGATGGATGGATGGATGGATGGATGGATG